GGTAAATGGAGACTGCTAATCCGTTTGATTTGCTTAGTGATGATGATGCAGAGGCGACGCTGCTGATTGCCGCTTCAGAAAAATGCTCAGGCCCATCAGATAGCTCTTTAAAAAATTCCAAAGATGAAAACGGAGGGTACAATTGGAAAGCAAGGTACCTGAAAAATATTGAAGTGCGCATAAAAGTAGTGCCCAACCGAGCTCACATAACAACTGAGCTTTTTCCCCAATCAACCGCACGAAAAACATCCTCCTGCCCGATCAAGATTTATGTGGTTCTAAGCAACACCAGGAGCTGTGGAGTATATATCTGTTGACATACAAAACAACCTTTTATGTTTTGGGTTATTATCTTTTTGCTTAGATTTTTAGCTGAAGTAATTATGTATAGTTGATTTGAGCAATAACCTGAACTGATATATATCCATACTTTTTCACAGAGTACATTTTTGGAAACTAAGCTGAAAAAATCTCTTGGAGTGTTTCCTAAATGCTGGTTCATAAAAACACATGAGAGGGAAACAATAGAAAAAAGCGGGTGATTTATCAATGCGATTTTGTAGCTGTCATCTGATGATTGTGTTAACATGGACTTTGTGCAGGTATACTTCAGGGCGTGGAGATAACAATGGGCCTGCTTCTCAGCACGACTCCACCGCTTCGGATGGTTTCGGGTCAGGCAGTCGGAAGCTGCTTCCGAGCCTGCATTGTTGTTGCGGATGGACTGAGGACTGGTGCTGGATGATGTGCATATGGACGTACTCAAGAGGGGTCACCGTCGATAGCCTCCCGAGCAGTGTTAGAGCACACAATAGTTTGCTCTGCGTGAGCCTTTACCCACCTGCAAAATTTGCAGGCTCAAGGTACGGAACCATGACAGAAAATCTCTAGGTCAATTCTTTTTTTTTTTTTCCTAACGCGTTTTGTTTTCTCGCATTGTTCGGTTTTTCATGTGTTGAATTTTTCCTACTTTATGAGTTTCAGCTAACTGAGTTACTGTATATCTTCAAGTGTGCGCTTCGTACCTTTGGTTCAACCTATATTGGTTGTTGGTTCAGGTAATATCGACGAGTTATGTGAATTATGAGCACACTGTTTGTTTATTTGATTTTTTATGCAGAGTAAGCCCATGTGGATACAAGCATGTAGGCGTCGATTACTAATCCAAAGGGCAACCTGATTATATTTGAAGATATTGAGGTAGTTGTCCAGTCGAAAGATGGTCACTAGCAAAGAGTCGGGGCTGAAGCATATCACCAATGCCGGTTCTGCTCCGGTGGAAAGCCAGCTATGTGAGTGTACAAATTGTTGATGGATCTTAGACGCCTCGCGGGCTGTACGATGTAGATATCCGAATGGTAATTTTTTTTTTTTGCCCTAATTTGTATCTCTATTGCGTGAGTATTCAATATATGGATGTGCTTGTTGATTTCTCAGGCTCTATAAACAAACATAAAAGGAATGGGAATGAGGATTTAAGATTAAAGGTTACTTTGAGTAGTTCTTCCAATTAAAACTTCATACTGAATTTTTTAAATCTGTAATTTATGTATATTAGTTCACTTTCTTTTCGTGTACTCATCTTTGGATAAAAAGATGCAATTTTTAAGCAATATGCTTTAAGTTTTGCAAATGATGGAGGGCATTGGAACTCTGAGTTTGGGGGTTTGTTTAGGGATTTTGTGTGCATTGAGTTGTGAGAGATGGTTTCATTTATGGCTTTTTGAATTTAGGCACAATCATGGATTAATAGGGCCGCAAGAAGTCGGGCTTCTGCGTGGAAAGTAGGCAATAAACATCCTTGTAAGTTATGTTTTTGCTATGTACTTAAAGAGTGTTATGTGGCTCCATTTGTTCACTTACTCATGTTTGTTTTACTAATCTTTTACTTTTTTTTTTTCTTTTTATTATTTTTAAGTGATTCTGATTCTGATGATATGCAAAGGAAGCTAAGTAGGATGAGGTGTGCTTTACATTGAAAATGGAAACATAAACAACAATAAAGTAAGCATACGTCTCTCTTTCGCTATCTTGAATTGTGTCACCCAGCTACTTGCAAATTATATGCTTAATATGCTTGATCTGAAGAATTCTTATGGGCTGGCTTAGAAAAATTGTGAGATTACGCCTCCTCTGTTGTGACGGTTAAACGATGGAAATGGCAAATCTTTAATATGGTAGTCGAATTCAAAATATACTCAGTTCTGATCATTCTAAATCACTGAGCGTATGAACTCTATCTGACTTTTCAGGTTCTACTGTTTTTGCTGCTTTTGGAAGCTGCATTTGTAACGACCAAAGAATATAGATTGAAAGGTTAGATGCTGAACAGAACAAAGGCATTATAGAAAAAAATTGGTGTGTTGCAGTCGCGAGAACGGCTCTGCCACCGTTGCGCCTTGAGAAGCCGCGACCGAATTGTGTGTTGGAGTCATTGGATCTTGCTTTACTACCTACATCTCAGTCAATAAAGTTATAGTGTTCTAGGACTTCACGTGTCGACAATTTTGGTTTACAATCGAGCTTCCGTGCCATTTTGGATACCATGAGTATTATATAAGGTATTAAAAAACCATATACTATGTAGATCTGACTTAGTATGGATTGTTTAAGAAATTCTTAAAAAAATGAGTGAATTGTTTTTATTTCATTTTACTATAATCACTTTGATTTTATTGTTTGTGTACAACTCTACAAGTGGTGGTGGAAATACTTTTGGGGGTACTCCAAATACAACACATTATGGATAAATTAATGTCGTTCATTGAGTGTTAAGTAAGTTCTATTGTTCTGTTATTTTCTGTAATTAATTCTTTGAGCGTTCTATCGAGTACTCTGAAGAACATGGTGAATATTTTTGTACTTCTGAGTATGGTCCGAGTACATTTGGAATCCCCCCTTTGTGTTGTCGTTTGGAATAACTAATCTATTTTTGTAGTGATCTGGTATACACCTGGAGTTGGATTTGCAGCTCACTTAGTAAGTAATATATGTATGGATAAACATTTACTTCATTTTTTTAGTATGTTAGAAATTGTATAGGTTTTGAACAGGTACCTAAAGGAGCTAGACTTACTTTTATTTGATGCATGCTTGAATTTTGTGAAGGCATTTATCGGTTTTTATGGGTAAATGGTGCCCATGATGAGTCGAAAGCTGTAATAATATTAGCCATGTTATAAAATTTCTTCCTTCCAGACTGTATTACGACTAAAGGCTTTAAATGTCTCTTAAATGGTGAAATTATATGGTGAATAATCATAACCCAACAAGTCTTATTACATTACACCTGATGCTAGCTGCTCTCTTGATTC